TCCCCCAGCACACTGTACCACCATACATGTATATACAAGAATATATGGTGAGCGATGTCGTGTTCTGTGATGTCTTGATGTACGTGGTGCGTACTTATGACGTCTGCTCTATATGTTGTAAATTATTAATAACTGTAATTAATTTTTTTTTATTTTAAATATTGACATTTGTTATTAAATAAAGGCAAAAATGTACCTCTGGAGTGACCAAAAATTGATCACTGGTGACGTTTTCTTTGTTAATAACCATCATACACTGACGAACAGGTTGTACACTTCTACATACTCATCTTCGGAAAGTTTCTGTGAGCAGAGACTAGGTGTTAACATCAAGAAGTTAACAATATCTGCTTGTAAACAGTAAGAAGGTACAATAGTACTCCCGGCCCCGCGTCTCCTCTCGTATATATAAAGTGACTCTCACCCGGTGGCCTGGTGGCGCGGTGGCCCGGTGGCCTGGTGGCCTGGTGGCCCGGTGGCCTGGTGGCTGAAGCTCCCGCTTCACACACGGAGGGCCCGGGTTCGATTCCCGGCGGGTGGAAACATTCGACACGTTTCCTTACACCTGTTGTCCTGTTCACCTAGCAGCAAATAGGTACCTGGGTGTTAGTCGACTGGTGTGGGTCGCATCCTGGGGGACAAGATTAAGGACCACAATGGAAATAAGTTAGACAGTCCTCGATGACGCACTGACTTTCTTGGGTTATCCTGGGTGGCTAACCCTCCGGGGTTAAAAATCCGAACGAAATCTTATCTTATCTCCTGCTAGGTGCGGGTTATCTGTGTGTTATCTGGACGTCTTGTACTGTAATATTTTATTATAAAACAGCTCAGACTGTTTCGTACTAATCTTCACCTGAAGTCACCGTACCTGACCAGCCGGGCTGTGGTTCCTACGTCGGTGTTTGTGTGACCAGCAGTAACAGCCTGTTTGATCAGGCCCTTATACACCGCGAGGCCTGGTCGTGGACCGGGCCGTGGGGGCGTTCACCCCCCGAAACATCCTCCAAATATAAGTCCGGATTGTAAATAATAACCCAGGGTAATCATCAATAACAATCAACAATGTCTCCCTAGTTTCTTTCCCTCACTTGTACAGCTGTTGCATTACGTGTACTCACGTAGTTGTGGGTGCAGGTGTCGAGTCACAGCTCCTGGCCCCGCCAGGAGCTGTGACTCCTACACTCTCCCGTGGTAGGAGACAGTGTAGGTAATTAAATAATACAGCTTTTCATTCATTGTCTCCAGATTAACGTAATCTTTAAGTTCATAAAATAATCAACATATCACAACGCAAACCTGTAAATAATTCATAATTTTGATTTTAAACATCGAATTTTGTTTACAAATTATATGTAACCAATATTGTGGCGGTTATCCAGATAACATGTGGAATTGTGGTCACTGTAACACTATACTGTTACATAGTAATGTGTAGGAGACCGCGGGAGTGTGTAGGAGACCGCGGGAGTGTGTAGGAGACCACATGAGAGTGTAGGAGACCACATAAGAGTGTAGGAGACCACAGGAGAGTGTAGGAGACCACAGGAGAGTGTAGGAGACCACAGGAGAGTGTAGCAGACCACAGGAAAGTGTAGGAGACCACAGGAGAGTGTAGGAGACCATAGGAAAGTGTAGGAGAAAACGGGAGAGTGTAGGAGACTACAGGAGAGTGTAGAAGGCCACAGGAGAGTGTAGGAGACCACAGGAGAGTGTAGGAGACCACAGGAGGGTGTAGGAGAAAACGGGAGAGTGTAGGAGACTACAGGAGAGTGTAGAAGGCCACAGGAGAGTGTAGGAGACCACAGGAGAGTGTAGGAGACCACAGGAGAGTGTAGGATACCACATGAGAGTGTAGGAGACCACAGGAGAGTGTAGGAGACCACAGGAAAGTGTAGGAGAAAACGGGAGAGTGTAGGAGACTACAGGAGAGAATAGAAGGCCACAGGAGAGTGTAGGAGACCACAGGAGAGTGTAGGAGACCACAGTAGAGTGTAGGAGAAAACGGGAGAGTGTAGGAGACTACAGGAGAGTGTTGGAGACAACGGGAGAGTGTAGGAGACTACAGGAGAGTGTAGGAGACCACAGGAGAGTGTAGGAGACTACAGGAGAGTGTAGGAGACCACAGAAGTGTAGGAGAAAACGGGAGAGTGTAGGAGACTACAGGAGAGTGTAGGAGATCGCGGGAGAGTGTAGGAGACTACAGGAGAGTGTAGCAGACCACAGGAGAGTGTAGGAGACTACAGGAGAGTGTAGGAGACTACAGGAGAGTGTAGGAGACCACAGGAGAGTGTAGGAGAAAACGGGAGTGTAGCAGACTACAGGAGAGTGTAGGAGACAACGGGAGAGTGTAGGAGACTACAGGAGAGTGTAGGGGATCACAGAAGAGTGTAGGAGACTACAGGAGAGTGTAGGAGACAACAGGAGAGTGTAGGAGAAAACGTGAGAGTGTAGGAGACTACAGAAGAGTATAGGAGACAACGGGAGAGTGTAGGAGGCTACAGGAGAGTGTAGGAGACGACAGGAGAGTGTAGGAGAAAACGGGAGAGTGTAGGAGACTACAGGAGAGTGTACGAGACAACGGGAGAGTGTACGAGACAACGGGAGAGTGTAGGAGACTACAGGAGAGTGTAGGAGACCACAGGAGAGTGTAGGAGACAAGGGGAGTGTAGGAGACTACAGGAAAGTGTAGGAGACAACGGGAGAGCGTAGGAGACTACAGAAGAGTGTAGGAGACCACATGAGAGTGTAGGAGACCACAGGAGAGTGTAGGAGACCACGGGAGAGTGTAGGAGACGAGAGGAGAGCGTAGGAGACTACAGAAGAGTAGGAGACAACATGAGAGTGTAGGAGACCACAGGAGAGTGTAGGAGACCACGGGAGAGTGTAGGAGACGAGAGGAGAGTGTAGGAGACCACAGGAGAGTGTAGGAGGCTACAGGAGTGTAGGAGACTACAGGAGAGTGTAGGAGACCACAGGAGAGTGTAGGAGACCACAGGAGAGTGTAGGAGACTACAAGAGAGTGTAGGAGACCACAGGAGAGTGTAGGAGACGACAGGAGAGTGTAGGATACCACGGGAGAGTGTAGGAAACCACAGGAGAGTGTAGACCACAGAAGAGTGTAGAAGTTCACAGGAGAGTGTAGACCAGAGGAGAGTGTAGGAGACAACAGGAGAGTGTAGGAGACCAGAGGAGAGTGTAGGAGACCACAGGAGAGTGTAGGATACCACAGGAGAGTGTAGAAGACTCCAGGAGAGTGTAGGAGACCAGCGGAGAGTGTAGGAGACCACGGGAGAGTGTAGGAGACCACAGGAGAATGTAGGAGACAAGAGGAGAGTGTAAGGGACCACAGGAGAGTGTAGAAGTCCACAGGAGAGTGTAGGAGACCAGAGGAGTGTGTAGAAGACCACAGGAGAGTGTAGAAATCCACAGGAAAGTGTACGAGATCAGAGGAGAGTGTAGAAGTCCACAGGTGAGTGTAGGAGACCACAAGAGAGTGTAAAAGACCAGAGGAGAGTGTAGGAAACCACAGGAAGGAGTAGGAGACCACGGGAGAGTGTAGGAGACCACGAGAGAGTGTCGGAGACCACGGGAGAGTGTAAGAGACCACAGGAGATTGTAAGGGACCGCAGGAGAGTGTAGGAGACTACAGGAGAGTGTAGGAGACCACAGGAGAGTGTAAGACACCACACGAGAGTGTAAGAGACCACAGGAGAGTGTAGGAGACCACAGGAGAGTGTAGGAGACCACAGGAGAGTGTAGGAGACCACAGGAGAGTGTAAGAGACCACAGGAGAGTGTAGGAGACCACAGGAGAGTGTAGGAGACCACAGAAGAGTGTAAGAGACCACAGGAGAGAGTAGCAGACCACAGGAGAGTGTAAGAGACCACAGGAGAGTGTAAGAGACCACAGGAGAGTGTAGGAGACCACATGAGAGTGTAAGAGCCCACAGGAGAGTGTAAGAGACCACAGGAAAGTGTAGGAGACCACAGGAGAGTGTAGGAGACCACAGGAGAGTGTAGGAGACCACAGGAGAGTGTAAGAGACCACAGGAGAGTGTAGGAGACCACAGGAGAGTGTAAGAGACCACAGGAGAGTGTAGGAGACCACATGAGAGTGTAAGAGCCCACAGGAGAGTGTAAGAGACCACAGGAAAGTGTAGGAGACCACAGGAGAGTGTAGGAGACCACAGGAGAGTGTAGGAGACCACAGGAGAGTGTAAGAGACCACAGGAGAGTGTAGGAGACCACAGGAGAGTGTAGGAGACCACAGGAGAGTGTAAGAGACCACAGGAGAGTGTAGGAGACCACAGGAGAGTGTAGGAGACCACAGGAGAGTGTAGGAGAATACAGGAGAGTGTAGGAGACCACAGGAGAGTGTAGGAGACCACAGGAGAGTGTAGGAGACCACAGGAGAGTGAAGCAGGCCACAGGAGAGTGAAGGAGACCACAGGAGAGTGAAGCAGGCCACAGGAGAGTGAAGGAGACCACAGGAGAGTGTAGGAGACCATAGGAGAGTGTAGGAGACCACAGGAGAGTGTAGGAGACCATAGGAGAGTGTAGGAGACCACAGGAGAGTGTAGGAGACCATAGGAGAGTGTAGGAGACCACAGGAGAGTGAAGGAGACCACAGGAGAGTGTAGGAGACCACAGGAGAGTGTAGGAGACCACAGGAGAGTGAAGCAGGCCACAGGAGAGTGAAGGAGACCACAGGAGAGTGTAGGAGACCACAGGAGAGTGTAGGAGACCATAGGAGAGTGTAGGAGACCATAGGAGAGTGAAGGAGACCACAGGAGAGTGTAGGAGACCATAGGAGAGTGTAGGAGACCACAGGAGAGTGAAGGAGACCACAGGAGAGTGTAGGAGACCACAGGAGAGTGAAGGAGACCACAGGAGAGTGTAGGAGACCACAGGAGAGTGTAGGAGACCACAGGAGAGTGTAGGAGACCACAGGAGAGTGTAGGAGACCACAGGAGAGTGTAGGAGAGGTTGGAACAGTACTCACGGTGCAGTAGATAACAACTCCTCCCAAGAGTAACATCTCCAACATTGTCCAGAGTGAAGCAGCGATCACCTGTAACAACAACAACAACACTCTTACTTAAACAACAACAATATTCTTACTTACACAACACCAACAACAACACTCTTACTTACATAACAACAACATTCTTACTTAAACAACAACAACAATTCTCTTACTTAAACAACAACAACACTCTTACTTAAACAACAACAATATTCTTACTTACACAACAACAACAACAACACTCTTACTTAAACAACAACAACAGTCTTACTTACTTACACAACAACAACAACAACACTCTTACTTAAACAACAACAACAGTCTTACTTACTTACACAACCACAAAAACAACAACCTCACAACCACAACACTTACAAATCTAAAACCACAACACAACAACCTCACAAACAAAAACAACAACCCTCACACCAACAACACAACAACACCCCTCAAAAAACCCAACAACATCTTACACAACAAAACACAAAACACCATTAAACAACAAAATTCCTCACAACCACAACAACAACCTCACAAAAAAAACACTTAACACAACCAAAAACAAAACAACCCCACTTACAAAAAACCTCACCCCCCAACAACAACAATCCTTTACAAAAACAACACTTCCCATTTCAAAACCCAACAAAAACACACACTCTACAAACAACACAACAAAACCCCTACAAACAACACACACAACCCTTTTTACACAACCAATACACTTACACAATCCCAAAAATCAACACTTACACATCCTCACAAACAACACTTACACAATCCTCACAAACAACACTTACAAATCCTCACAAACAAAAACTTACCAATCCCACAACCAAACACTTACACAATCCCACAATACAACACTTACACAATCCTCACAACCCAACAACACTTACACAATCCTCACAACCAAACTTACAAATCCTCACAACCACAACACTTACACAATCCTCACAAACAAACTTACACAATCCTCACAACCACAACACTTACACCAATCCCACAATACAACACTTACACATCCTCACACCACAACACTTACAAAATCTCAAAAACCCACAACACTTACACAATCCTCAAAAACCCAAACACTAACACAATCCCACAACCACAACACTTACACAATCCTCACAAACAACACTTACAAAAACCTCACAAGTACAAACTTACAAAATCCTCACAACCCAACACTTACACAATCCTCACAAACAACACTTACACAATCCTCACAACCACAACACGTACACAATCCTCACAAGTACAACACTTACACAATCCCACCAAACCCAACCCACAACCCCCTTACACAATCCTCACAAGTACAACACTTACACAATCCTCACAACCACAACACTTACACAATCCCCCACAACCACCCAAAAACCTTACCAATCCTCACAACCAACACTTACACAATCCTCACAAGTACAACACTTAAACAATCCTCACAACACAAAACCCACTTACACAATCCTCACAAGTCAAATTTAAACACAATCCTCACAACCACAACACTTACACCCACAATCCTCCCAACCCACAACCACAACACTACACAATCCTCACAATACAACACTTACACAATCCTCACAACCACAACACTTAAAAAATTTCCTCACAAACAACACTTACAAAATCCTCACAAACAACACTTACACAATCCTCACAACCACAACACTTACACAATCCTCACAAACAACACTTACAAAAACCTCACAAGTACAAACTTACACAATCCTCACAACACAACACTACACAATCCTCAAAACCCACAACACTTACACAATCCTCACAACCACAACACTACACAATCCCACAAGTACAACACTTACACAATCCTCACAACCACAACACTTACACAATCCTCACAAGTACAACACTTACACAATCCTCACAACCACAACCTACACAACCCCTCACAAACAACACTTACACAATCCTCCAACCACAACACTTACACAATCCTCACAAGTACAACATTTACACAATCCTAAACAACCACAACACTTACACAATCCTAAACAATACAACACTTACACAATCCTCAAAACCCACAACACTTACACATCCTCACAACCACAACACTTACACAATCCTCACAAGTACAACACTTACACAACCTCACAACCACAACACTTACACAATCCTCACAAGTACAACACTACACAATCCTCACAAGTACAACACTTACACAATCCTCACAACCACAACACTTACAAAATCCTCACAAGTACAAACTTACACAATCCTCACAAGTACAACACTTACACAATCCTCACAACCACAACACTACACAATCCTCACAACACAACACTTACACAATCCTCAAAACCCACAACCTTACACAATCCTCACAATACAACACTTACACAATCCCACAAACAACACTTACACAATCCTCACAAGACAACACTTACACAATCCTCACAACCACAACCGTACACAACCTCACAATACAAGACTTACACAATCCTCACAACCAAACACTTACACAATCCTCACAAGACAACATTTACACAATCCTCACACCACACAACGAAACAATCCCACAACTACAACACGTCAAACAATCCTCACAACTACAACACGTACAAATCCCACAACCACAACACTTACACAATCCTCACAGACAACACTACACAATCCTCACAACCACAACACTTACACAATCCTCACAAGTACAACACTTACACAATCCTCACAAGTACAACACTTACACAATCCTCACAAACAACACTTACAAAATCCTCACAAGTACAACACTTACACAATCCTCACAAGTCAACACTTACACAATCCTCACAAACAACACTTACACAATCCTCACAACCACAACACTTACACAACCCTCACAATTACAACACTTACACAATCCTCACAACCAAAACAACACATTAAAAACAATTCCTCCACCAAGACAACACTTACACAATCCTCCCCACCACAACACTTACACAATCCTCACAAACAGAACTAACAATCCTCACAACCACAACACTTACCAACCCACAAGTACAACACTTACACATCCCACAACCACAACCTTACCAATCCCAAAAATACAACACGTACAAATCCTCACAACTACAACACTTACACAATCCTCACAACACAACACTTACACAACCTCACAGACAACACTTACACAATCCTCACAACCACAACACTTACACAATCCTCACAATACAACACTTCACAATCCTCACAAGTACAACACTTACACAATCCTCACAAGCACAAAAACCCCGTACAACAAAATCCTCACAACACAACACTACACAATCCTCACAACTACAACACTACACAATCCTCACAACCACAACACTTACACAATCCTCAAAGTACAACACTTACACAATCCTCAAAAACCACAACACTTACACAATCCTCACAAGTACAACACTTCACAATCCTCACAACCCCTACAAACCACGTAAAACACATCCTCACAACCACAACACTTACACAATCCCACAAGTACAACATTTACACAATCCCACAACCACAACACTTACACAATCCCCACAAAAAACAACACGTAAAACAATCCTCACAAACAACACTTACACAACCTTCACAAGACAACACTTACACAATCCTCACAACACAACACTTACACAACCTCACACTAAAGACTACAAACCCACAACACAACCTCACATCTACTACAACACTTACACAATCCTCACAACCACAACACCATTAAAACAACCTCAAAACTCAATCAACACTTACACAATCCTCAAAACCACAACACTTACACAATCCTCACAAGTACAACACCTTACACAATCCCACAGCCACAACCTTACACAATCCTCACAAGTACAACACTTACACAATCCTCACAAACAACACTTACACAATCCTCACAAGTACAAACTTACACAATCCTCACAAACAACACTTACACAATCCTCACAATCACAAAACTACACAATCCTCACAACTACAACCCCGTACACAACCCTCACAACCACAACACTTACACAATCCTCACAAGTACAACACTTACACAATCCTCACAACCACAACACTTACACAATCCTCACAAGTACAACACACACAATCCCACACCCAACCTACACAATCCTCACAATACAACACTTACACAATCCTCACAACCACAACACTTACACAATCCTCACAAGTACAACACTTACACAATCCTAAACAACCACAACACTTACACAATCCCACAACACAACACTTACACAATCCTCACAAGTACAACACTTACAACAATCCTCAAAACCACAACACTTACACAATCCTCACAAGTACAACACTTACACAATCCTCACAACAAACACGTACAAAATCCTCACAATACAACACCTACACAACCTCAACACAACACTTACACAATCCCACAACCACAACACTTACACAATCCCACAAGTACAAACTTACACAATCCTCACAACCACAACACTTACACAATCCTCACAAGTAAAACCCACTTAACACAATCCTCACAATACAACACGTACACAATCCTCACAACACAACACTTACAAAATCCTCACATACAACACTTACACAATCCCCCACAAACAACACTTCACAATCCTCACAAAGAACACTTACACAATCCTCACAACCAAACACTTACACAATCCTCACAGTAAAACTTTACAATCCTCAACAAGCATTTTACAAAATCCTCACAATACAACACTTAAAACAATCCTACAATAAAACACGTACACAATCTCAAAAGTACAACACTTACCAATCCTCACAAGACAAACATTTAACACAATCCTCACAACCACAACCTTAAAAATCCTCAAAATACAAACTTACACAATCCTCACAAAAAACCTCCAATTAAATACAAATTCACATCAAACCAAACACGTACCATCCTCAAAATTACAACACGTAAAAATCCTCACAAACAACATTACACAATCCTCACAACACAACATTTTAACACAATCCTCACAATAGAACACTTACACAATCCTACAAACAACAAACTTACACAATCCTCACAAGTACAACACTTCACAATCCTCACAAGTACAACACTTACA